GTTCATATATACTTTAAAATAATATATCTTAAAGGAAATAAGAACTTAAATAAGTACTCTGTGTAAGTTTGGTTGTTATTTACTCTCTGTGTCAGAATTCATTTACGTTTACCTGATCTTGCTCTCCTCCACCTTCCTCGTCGTAGTTGAGCACGTTCTCTCGGATGTCCTCCCACTCGCCGTGATGCGCAGACACATGGTACACGCCCTCCTTTAGGCCCTTGTGTCTCCTCCAGCAGGAGTAGAGAAACAGGCCCAGCATCAACACTGAGGGGTGCCAGAGAGCAGGTTAACGCAGCACTGTCACATAATTAGCATGAACTCCTGAGCTGAAAAAGCCCGGCTTCGGCTGCATATGTAATCTACAAAGTTAGGAAATACTCGACTGCAGTCAGGATATAATTTAATTACAAATAAATAAGTAACGCAGACTCAAAATACATGACTGTAAATGCATTTTGCATCACACTGACTTGTCCTGTAAGGCCTGTTAGCTGCACTGACTACAGTTAGGACATACTAATAAAACATACGTGCAAACCGAGGCACCACCTTTCCACCTATATTCCCTTTGATGTTGCCTCTCTGTTTCCTGTCTTATCAAAGACCGCAGTTCCTCAGAAACCTATTAACTGAATTTGTACTCCTCCCAGCTTAAACTCAAAGCCTCAGTGGCTCGGCAGAACTCTGAGAGGAATGCAGCGGGAGCCGAAAAAGAAAGGTCCTAAAGCATACACATCAATCACAGCTATTGTGTGCTGAATTATACAACATGCTGGACTGACCTTTAAAGTCCATTAATCTCAACCAATATTTTTCTCCCATCTGCCATCCTTCTCTTTCTCTTTTTTCCTTTTCTCACTATCTGTTTTTACTAGTTCGCAACTTGACTCCCCCTTTTTATCTGTGTACATTTTTTTGGTCTCTATATATTGGCGCTTGCCTCAGTCTTTCCTTTTTCCATTCCTCACTCATTAAGTCTCTCAGTGTTCCTGTTTTTCAGTCCCTCCCTGGCCTCTGCCTGGCCTTGGCTTTTATCTCTCACATGAGATGGGATCCATTTCAACTAGAATAGTTTATATGGTGCGAGTCAAGTATCAGTTTAATTGGAAATCTTCGGAGAAATGCGGGGTAATCACATTAGTCTGGATTTTTCGAGTAATTGCTTCGAAAGAGAATAATGCGCCGACGACTCATCGGGGGTCACGCTAAAAGGTACTCGCAAACAAAGACGAAAACAAGCCCCGCGAGCTAATCTCCACCGACTTCTTATTTCTTCTGCTACACTTTTCTGCTTCTGTTCTGCACTCGTGTTAGATAGAAAAATAGAGTCTGCAAGCATCCCCCTCCCTCGATCCTCAGCTGACCCTCCTCAGTATGGGGTAGAGGGGAGAGCGGTATTGATCAGCTGACCTGGCTCCTTCACTGTTACGCCAGAGTACCCTTGCAGAAAACATCAGAATTTTGATAAGGCCCGGCACCGACCAGACGGCAGCTTGAGGCCCTCGCCTCGAGAATTACCTGCTCTGAGGTGCTGCCTGCAGGCCCGCGCTCAACCCTCAAAATCACCCGAATTGATATGAAAGGAATCTCTGGAGGGGAGGAGTTCGATACGCAGCGCAGTGGAGCTTAAGAACACTCCCTCCATCACACAAACACACAACTGCTAACAGGTAAACACTGACCACACCGCCCACCCACACACACCGAGGCTGCCTTCCCCCCCTACACCTGCAGCCACTACTGCCTCAAGTTATATGGGTGTGTGCAGCTAGACTCCAGCGAGATCAATATCACTCAGGGTGGAGAACAACCATCGCACTCATTCATCAATCCATAACACCACTGCTGCCTCTTTGCCCTCTAACCATTACTATGACCGAGGTATTATGATGTTAGCCTCGATCGGACCGTGCGTTATGAATGAGTGTGGCGTAAACGACAACAGAGCCTGATCAAAACACTTAACCGTTTCGCTGTAGCTCCAGTCTGAGGTTAACGAGGGAAAAATGAGCTCCGAGACAGATGAAACATCAGCGGAAGACGAGGGAGAAATGAAAAGTGACGACCGAGCAGAAGGAAATGAGACAGGTGAGAGATGAGAAGGAGTTGGGAAAAAATAATTTATTTATAAAAGTTTCAGGGGATGAAAAGGACAGGCACTTTACAAGATCGTTTGGCAGCCAGAGCGCATATGGGGAGCTAATTTCTGCTATTCATCAAGAAACACAACGTCAGATCTGATGCTGGATTAATGAGGATTGGTCAGACATTGGCTCATCTGGCTCTGTCAATAACACACACTGTGATGGCTTATGTAAAACTTAATAATGAATGATCATTTTAACTTTTAATGCATGTCGAGGCAGAGTAGGAGTCCCCCTTTAATTTAGCACCCAGCTAGTGGTCTCACTTAGCGCAGAGAGCGTGCTGTATGCGAGTGTGTTGTTGTGGTGACGGGGGTCATCATTAAACAACTACATACAGTACAAACAGCTGTTCTCTGACTCAAAAAGGATTCATTTTGCTTCCACGTTCAGCCAAGACGGCCGATTTCTCTTTTTTCTCCGCTATGTTTTAGCGAAAGACTTATTTTAGTTTATAGCGTGTGGTTTTTTTAAGGTGCGAAAATGTAATTACGCTCACCAAAGAGCGCTACTCTAATCTGAATTGCATTAAGGAACAGTTTGTAATTCTTGGTGAGGTGAAAAGTTTGAGCCTTGAATATAAATGCCTCGGCTGCAACAGTGGACAAGCTATTTCAAATGGACTTCTTTTAGTTAGCATGCAAGCAACACGTGAATTTTCATGATAGATGCCGAGGCCACACTTCATCATCTTTGAATTCATTATCAAATATTGAAGACTGCTTTGTATGTTTCACTCTCGTGTGTCAGAATAACTGATGTCCCAATACTAGCCACATGCCCTGCAGGGAACACGAAGTTAGTTATAGAGGCAGGGACGGTGTATTGAATTGCCCGAGCGTTTTATAAGCCTGTATGTGACAGAACGACTCATAAATAGCAACGTGGCGCTATAGAGAGAAGCGACTGCTGCTACATACACACACGGGCTTGTGTTTAGCTTTGTGAGTAGCAGAAACAAACACAGTTCCTTAGTTAGAAACCCTTAAACTAATGCCATTAACTCATTCCTTTCCTAAACATTAACCATGAGTTAATGCAATCGTCCTTCTTTTTTGACACAATCGGCGAGATATCAATGCATACGCATTTAAAAAGGCCCCGCTGGCAGCAGATGTGGGAAGATATTGAATCTTGATTCTATTAGATCTTAACACAGCTTATGAGACCATCAACCATGCGGCTTTATTAGACTGCTTATACAAGCGGGCCAATGCCATCAGTACTTAACTGCTTCAAGTCTAGAGCTGAAATATTAGTTGAATAATGAATTTGTTGATCAGTTCTGATGGCTGATCAAGCTGTTTGCCCGGTTCGTTTTAGCCTCTGTCGATTGATGTTATGTATTTTCAGCTTCTGCCATTTCATAGAGTAAACAATCAGTTTATGATTGACAAAGAAAACAAACACAATGTCTACCAATACTCAAATTATCTTGAGTCTTTTCTTTAAACAAATTCACTCTGAATGTTCTTTTGTGTTTCTTTATAGGCTTCATACTAGTCTAGTGATAGAAAGGAATTAAATTATGTGCCATTCAAAACAGACTCGCACTTCTTCTGGAGACAAAAGGTATAGTTTTCATTCATTCATTTCACCTTTAAAACTGATCATCACTGAAAGTTTCTGCACCTTAACAAAACAAATGCATATTTTTCTGTTTTTACAGACATTTGTTTTGACTATTACATGGCTAGGAAAGGTTTTCCATATATGTATTTATACAGCCCCAATTTAATAATGCATGTGCTCAGGCATCAATCACAAACATGAAAATGTCAGAACGAAGCAGCTCAGTTCTCAACAGGCACAAAGAAAAGCCAGCATCGCCCTCATCTTATGATTATTGATTTTACGATCCTGCTCCTCACATACAAAGCAGTCAGTGGCTCTTCTCTGGTATACATTTTTAAACTTATGACCCCTCAAATGTCAGAGCGCAACCACAGATCACCAGATGAGTCTTCAAAGGGAAGGTCTTTCAATGAAGGCTCACACACTTCATCACCCAAACCTTGACAAGTCTGTCTTTCTCTTAAAATATTTTCTAAAACCTAA